GGAAGACATCCATCACCCACCAAAGGTTTCTCATGCTTTTTTGTCATCCGTTCCTCTCTACCACTGCTGCCCCTCTTGTGCCAGCCCCCATTTCCAGGCAACTCTTCACAGGCTCTCTGTCACTGTAGGCTAGTTTTCATTTTCTGGAATGGAATCTACGTTGTGTACTCTTCTTTTGTCTATCTTTTTCCATCCTTTGTAAGTAGATACCACCATCTGTTCATCCATTCACCTCTTACGGATGTTCACATGATAGTTATTTGGGGCTGTTACAAATAAAGCTGCCCTACAAGTCTTTTTGCGGATGTAAGTTCGCATTTCTCTTGGAATACCTAGCCAGTGGAACAGCGGGGTTGCATGGGGTATGTGTCGGTTTACCCTTTGAAGAAATTACCCAGTGGTTTTCATAAGTAGTTGTAGATTTTATGTTCTCACCAGTAGCGTATGAGAGTTCCACTTACTCTGCTCCTTGCCAAACTCAGTGCGGTCTGGCTTTTCAGTTTTAGCCATTCTAGTGGATGCATAGTAGTATGTAATTGTGATTTTAGTTTGCAGTTCCCTAGCAGCTAATGTTGTTGAGCATCTTTTCATGGGTTGATTTGCGACCTCTTTATCATCTGTGGTGAAGTGTCTGTTCAGATCTTTGGCCCAGCTTTTAACTGGGCTGTTTGCTTTATTGAACTTTGAGTTCTTTACATATTCTGGATAGCATTCCTAGTACCGCAGATTTGCTGGTATCAATTCCTTTAGCCTTTTTATACCTGAAAGAGTCCTTATTGTACCTTCATTTTTTGAAAGGTTTGCTCACTGTCGAATCCTAGATCGACAGTCTTGCCAAATCCTGTACTGTTTTTTAATGACACTGTTCCACTGCCTCTGACTTGCATTGTTTCTGACAAGTGTGCTGTAATTCTTATCTTTATCTCTGTGTACATAATGTGTCTTTTTCCTCTTTTACTTTTTTTTTTTTTTGCGGTACGCAGGCCTCTCACTGTTGTGGCCTCTCCTGTTGCGGAGCACAGGCTCCGGACGCGCAGGCTCAGCGGCCATGTCTCATGGGCCCAGCCGCTCCGCGGCATGTGGGATCCTCCCGGACCGGGGCACAAACCCGTGTCCCCTGCATTGGCAGGTGGACTCTCAACCACTGCGCCACCAGGGAAGCCCCCTCTTTTACTTTTAAGATTTTCTCTTTATCACAGGTTTAAAGAATTATTTTTTATCATATGTGCCTTTTGGTGTAATTTTCTTCATGTTTCCTGTGCTTGGGGTTTGTTGAGCCTCTTGGATCTGTCGGTTTATAGTTTTCCTTGAATTTGGAAAATTTGCCACCGTAAGTTTTTCAAAATGTTTTTGGTTTCTTCTCTCTTTCTAGGACCATAATTTCTCATTTAGGCCCCTTGAGGTTGTCTTACAGCTGAATGATTCTCTACAGCTTTTTCATTCAACCTTGTTTCCCCTTTATGTTTCATTTTTAAGTTTCTATTGCTGTGTCTTCAAATTCACTAATCTTATTTTCTTATACATCATGAGAAATTTAATTTCTTTTTAATTTAATAAATGAAATTTAAACAAAACTTTAGACTCTGACACATTTGGGTTTTATGATAGGATAATAATTTCTCATTTACTGTACTTTTCATGATATGTTTTATTTTGATGACTTAAGATACAGTTGCAGTTCTCATTGGTTTAATTAAATATTTGTATTTGGCCCTTCCCTTTCCATTTCTCTTTAGTTGAGCTTTGTGAGACAACAGCTCTTTTATAACTTTAAAAAATTTTTAATTGAAATGTAGTTGATTTACAATGTTGTGTTAGTTTCGGGTTTACAGCAAAGTGATTCAGGTATATACATATATACATATACATATACAACATACATATACTTTTTCAGATTCTTTTACATTATAGATATTACAAGATGTTGAATATAGTTCCCTGTGTTTTATCTATTTTATATAAAGTAGTGTGTATCTGTTAATCACGAACTCCTAATTTACCTCTCCCCCCCGACCCTTTGGTAACCATAAATTTGTTTTCTATGTCTGTGAGTCTGTTTCTGTGTTTTAAGTTGATTTGTATCATTCTTTTAGATTTCACATATAAGTGATATCATATGATATTCATCTTTATCTGACTTACTTCACTTAGTCTGATAATCTCTAGGTCCATCCATGTTGCTGCCAATGGCATTATTTCATTCTCTTTTGTGGCTGCGTAATATTCCATTGTGTGTGTGTGTGTGTGTGTGTGTGTGTGTGTGCGTGTATATATATATATATATATATATATATACACACGCACACATATATATATATCACATCTTTTTTATCCATTCATCTGTTGATGGACACTTAGGTTGCTTCCATGTCTTGGCTATTGTGAATAGTGCTGCAGTGAACTTTGGGGTGCATGTATGTTTTCAGATTAGCATTTTTGTCTTTTCTGGATATATGCCCAGGAGTGGGATTGCTGGATCATATGGTAACTCTATTTTTAGTTTTTTGAGGAACCTCCGTACTGTTTTCCATAGTGGTTGCACCAACTTACATCCCCACTAACAGTGTAGGAGGGTTCCCTTTTCTCCACACCCTGTCCAGCATTTGTTATTTGTAGACTTTTTAATCATGGCCATTCTGACTGGCGTGAGGGGATACCTCCTTGTAGTCTTGATTTGCATTTCTCTAATAATTAGTGATGTTGAGTATCTTTTCATGCACCTATTGGCCATCTCTGTCTTCTTAGGAGAAATGTCTATTTAGTTCTGCCCATTTTTTTGATTGAGTTATTTGGTTTTTTGTTGTTGAGTTGTATGAGCTGTTTGTATATTTTGGAAATTAAGCCCTTGTCAGTTGCATCATTTGCAAATATTTTTTACCATTCCATAGGTTGCCTTAGGTTCGTTTTGTTTATGGTTTCCTTTGCTGTGCAAAAGCTTGTAAGTTTGATTAGGTCCTGTTTGTTTATTTTTGCTTTTATTTCTCTTGCCTTGGGAGACAGACCTAAGAAAACCTTGGTATGGTTTATGTCAGAGAATGTTTTCCCTATGTTCTCTTCTAGGGGTTTTACAGTGTCAAGTACTATGTTTAAGTCTTTAAGCCATTTTAAGTTTACTTTTGTATATGGTGAAAGGGTGTGTTCTAATTTCATTGATTTATATGAGGCTGTCCAACTTTCCCAACACCCCTTGCTGAAGAGACTGTCTTTTTCCCATTGTATATTCTTGCCTCCTTTGTCGAAGATTAATTGACTGTAGGTGTGTGGGTTTATTTCTCGGCTCTCTATTCTGGTCCATTGAGCCATATGTCTGTTTTTGTGCCAATACCATGCTGTTTTGATTACTGTAGCTTTGTAGTATTGTCTGAAGTCTGGGAGGGTGATGCCTCTTGCTTTGTTCTTTTTCCTCAGGATTGATTTGGTAATTCCGGATCTTTTATGGTTCCATATAAATTTTAGGATTATTTGTTCTAGTTCTGTGAAAAATGTGAGATGACAATTCTTTTGTTACTTTGCATGATGGACCCTGGTACACACATTGCTCTCATGGTTGTCCTGTTTCCAGTGTGATCAAATGACTAAAAACCACACCTTGGTGGTAGATAAGACTTCTCCAGGCAGGAGAGGATAGTCACAATGTCACATCTCTCTCTTGAAGAGCCAGAAATTGAGAGAGCCTTGAGTAGGCTGCTGAATGTGCATGTCTTCTTTTTCTTTCTTTTTTTTAGCTTAATGCTGTTTTGCAGAAGGTCTTTAACTCTCACCATGTGGAGGCAGGTGATCCGCACTCCAGCTGGGAAGTGCCACATCTAGTCAAAGCTTTGGGGCTAGAGTATAGATCTCTCGAGTCCCTTGGTGACAAGAGTTGGGGCCCATGAGAGTGAGGTTAAATGGTTGAGGTTGGAAACCTGTATGCAAGTCAAACTATTTTTAATCTCTCCTGTGGTAGCTCTTTGCTTTGTTCTCCTTTAGTATTTTGCAAAGTCTTTCAAGATTTTCAGCTTTTCTTAGCTGGTCCAATGGGAACCAAGAGAAAATATTTTCGATTAATCTTGGTGGCACCACTGACAGGCGAGATACCCAAAAGGTAGGTAAATTTCAAGGGCAAAGGAGTTGATTGGTTGACTGCCTTCCCCACCTATAATAAATACCTCCTTTTAGAGACAGACTTTGGAGCATCTGCATTATACTGCGTGGGGGTGGAGAAGTTCCTTTTCTGACAAGATTCTTTACTGCCTTCCCCAGACACTCATCAACATATACTCTATCTTTTTATTGCAAAGCCTTGATCTCAAATAGCTGGCAACTAATGACTATGCTGTTAACTGAAAGGAAATTTAAGGGTTTTTTCACTCAAAAGGATATATGCATTTTAATTGATAACCGTTAAAGACTAGAGGCTATTTTGTGATTTAAGGGAGTTATTACTTAATGATGAAATTTCAGGTAGAGGGAGATCTACCAGGGACTGGGATCCGGCCACACTGTACCACTATGCCTGTAGATTTTTATGCCAATATACATCTCTTTTAACCTGACCCAATCTGGTTTTTTAATGTACTGTTCAGAATTAAAATTTAAGATGATTATTTTGTGGAAATGTTATCCATATATCCCAAGGTAAATCTATCAACTTAGAGTCTGAAAAAGATGGTAAACTATATATTTATGGTAAGTGTCTATAAAAATATATTTATTTGTTAACTAGCCATAAGATACACATGTGAATCAGTGTGCTGTCGTGGTTGGTTTGTAATACTCAACTTGACTTACGAATGTGAAAATTACATATTCCTAAATCAGCATAATAATTCTTTGTGAATTGCATGCTCCTAGAAGTTTTGAAATGGCTGTGATGTTTACTTACTTCTACATCACCTAATTTCAGAAAAGATTTAGAGGGCTAAAATGAGTAGATTATAAGTGTCCTTTAGAAGACTTATATATCATTTAGCAATAAGTGAGATCTTTATTTTCTAATTTCATTGACACTTGACTTTTAGGTATTCAGAGGATGACTATCTTCAGATTATCACAAATATCCAGAGCTGTCCATGGAAGCGACAAGCAGAAGAACATGAGAAGTTTAGGTAAAAAATTTCTTCATAAATAATATGAGATTGAAAAATGTTTTGTACATTTGCTTTGTCACTAAAATAAGCAATGCGTTGTTAAAAAGAAACGTAGAAGGGGCCAAGCGACCATGAGGAACTTTTCGTTCAGAGATCCTCTCACGAGACACAAGGCCCTGCATCCCCAGCTCTTAGATAGAAATTTGTAATTATGTTGCTGAAATTAATTACAGAAATCCCAACTTCAAAAGGAAAGTTTTTGTTGTACTTTTTATCATATTTTAGAGGATGTTGCTGCTTCTTTGTACCATTTGTATTTGACGTTTATTTGTAACTAACGTGTAGCAGTGTAAAAGAATTTTGGAAAACATAGAAAGAAAAAGAGATCACCTGTGGTCCCAACACTCTAGAACAAAAACTATATGTTCCTTTCTGCATATTCCCTTCCCGTTTTTCTCATTAGCTTTTTAATCTCAGCACCATTCAGGAGCATGAGATGCTCCAGGTAATAACCCAGGGGGGCGCCATCAACCTGACAAGACCAGGTTACCAGTGGATGATTACAGAGCTGTCCTGTGCTTGAATACCTCGGAGCCCACCCAGACAGAAATAAATTGTGTCAAAACAGTACCCTGCGGGGGATGCCTGGGTAGTTCTCTGGCACTCCTTCCTCCCATTATCTGCTCATAGGGTGCAGCCAGGCCAGGTATCTCTGTGCCTGCCTGGGCTACCTTGCTTTGCTTTTCTTTGCCACATTCTCATTCTTCGCTTTGCATCAACACAGGTTTTGTCTTGTGCCAGGTTATTACAGTTCGGTAATAAGTTTTTATCTTTACTGGTTCCTGTTTTCAAATTTTACGTTAAGCATCGACTCTTCTAAAAACCTTAGTAAGGAGACTTGGCCTTCCCCTGAGACTCTGTAACGCTGCTCAGTTCTGTTGGCTGTAGGAAGCCAGCTCTTCTCCATGCAGGGCCCTTCAGCCCGTACCTGCTGGAGTCATTGGACCACAGCTGTCTTTGATTCTGGTGCCCCTGGAGACGGGTTGTGGGCAACTCCCATTGGGTAAGATGAGAAACTTCCTGATTGGGTTAAAGCTGAAAATGAACATCTTTCCTCCACTGGGTAGACACATGGTTGTCATGACCTCCTGTAGGATTCCATTGTCTTTCCTAACTGGCAGTTTAGAGTGTGGGATTCCTGTGTAACTATTTCATCTCCAGGACATTTTATGCTAGATCGTCCACTTGTCCCCTCAAAAGTCATAAGTTAAAAATCTAATCACCAACAGGATGGTATTCGAAGGTGGGGCCTTTGGGAGGTAGGAGGTGATTGGGTTATGAGGGTGGAGCCCTCATGAATGGGATTCACGACCTTATAAAAAAGACCACGTACTGCTCTCTCGCCTCTTCCATCATGTGAGGACACAGCAAGGAGACAGCTGTCTAAGAACCCAGAAGTGGATTCTCACCCGACACCAAATCTGCCAGCGCCTTGCTCTTAGACTCCCAGCCTCCAGAACTGTGAAAATAAATTGTTGTCTGTAAGCCCCCTGGTTTATAGCATTCTGTGATAACAGCTCAGATGGACTTAGACACAATCCTACCGAAGACTAGATTTGAGAGATTCTCGTGACAGGAAGGCCTGATAGAAAGTTGCAAGGGCAATTGTAACCTAAGCGATCACAGGGTCAGTGAGTAGCGGAAGAGTCTGGTTTTGAGAGACCTTTCTACAAGTGCAGAGTAGGCCAAAGAAGAAGGAGAGAGCTGTGGAGGTATTGAACTATTGAGGATTAATCCCAGATAATTAGCTGGAAGGACTAGATGAGTAGTGACACTGACAATTAAAGTCGGGATAAAGGAGCTTCCACTTCTGGCGGTAAAGTTGATTCAGGGCAAACCTCCTGAGAATAATACAAACAAAACGAAGTATATGAAACACTTCTTTTGAGGGCAGTGGAGAGCTATCAAGCCAGGGGGAATGTCCAGGACTAAGATCCAGAAGAAGAGAGAAGCTGAAAGAGAAGAGACGCCTTTGGAGCTGCTTTCCCTCACAAGGAACTGGCTGGATGCAAAAGCAGAAGCATGGGGGAGAGGTAGCGACATAGAGCAGGGCTTCCAGCATACCCCAGAAGAGACCAGTTCTCTAAAAGACTGAAGCCCAATTGAAGTCATTTCCATCCTCCCTTGGATTTAGGTCTGCCCTTAGCCTAGATGCCTGATAAAATAATCCTGGGGCATCATTTACTCCATTGAGGGTCCCGAATAGAACAGAAAGGTAGACGAAGGGCAAACGTGCTTCCTCTGCTTGAGCTGGGACATTCATCTTCTCCTTGGCCATCAGCCTTTGGACTCCTACTGGGACTTACACCATTGGCTCCCTTGGTTCCCAGGCTTCGGATTTGGGCTAGAACTACACCACTGGTTTCCTGAGCCTCCAGCTTGCAGACTGTCTATCGTGGGACTTCTCAGCCTCCGTAATCATGTGAGCCAATCCCTCATAATAAATGTTTTCTTTCTACATATCTAAATTTAAAAAAATAATCCTCTCTGGAAGAAGGTAACCTCCTTCTGAGCCTTGAATGATCTCTGCAAGTTTTTACGCACAACGTCTAGCTCAGTTAAAAAGAGAATTCTTTTTAAAGGTTTTTTTTCTTCTTTCCCTCGTGTGTGTGTGTGTGTGTGTGTGTGTGTGTGTGTGTGTGTGTGTGTGCGTGCGCGCGCGCAGGCGCACGCACTAAAAATCAGGAGTCTCTTTGAATCCAAAGCCGTATGAAAGTCACTGGTGCAAATGATAATGGATAGATGCTGTGTAGATGGCTGGTATGCAGACTGGCCATTTTTCCCTTAGAACCATCTCAGTATAAAAAGTGCACCCATAACTGTGATGATTACCCCATGGTAATCATCTATCCCTTCAGGGCCAATTTAAGTAGACTTCTGGGACCGTAACACTTATTGTTTGTTGTCTTTCAAGAGAACAGTCATGGTGACATTTATTTATTTACTTGAATATGTATCATATTGGTACATTCTTTTTATGGACGTATTTGTGAACTAAATTATGTAAACCCTCATCAGAAATCTGTGCAATTGAATCATAGTAAGCCATTCACTTTCCTCAGTTTTTACTGATATAGCTGGCCAAATCTGGGGAGTTTCTGGCTTATTTATAAAGCTGGCATTATAGAAATGTCCCCTATTCTTATAGATGTCGAGTAACTAAATAATATTCTATTTTATTTTATTTATTTATAGCAATTTATACCAAATTGAAGAAAAGTGAAAGGTGGTGATATTCTTTTAGCAGGAATAACAAAAGTTACATTAAATTCTGACAAATATGAGCAAAGTGAATATATTCTAAATCCAGCTGTAGCCTGATTGTTGAAACTCCCCAAAGTTGACACCTAGGGGCTATTTGAAGATTATAGGACTTTGTGGTCACAGGATCTCAAAATCAGAGAGCTTGTAAAAGCTTTCCTTAGATAAATATGCTACTTGCTAGCATAGGGCATACATTTTATTTATCAATAAATATTTGTTTCAGCATTACTCTGTCAAAGCACAGTAGGCTTAAGCCTGTTACACAGGCTTAACGTAGAACCTCAAACACAAAGTAGAACCACAAACACAAACCTCAGGCACAAAGTAGAACCTCAGTAAATATGTACTAAATAAATGGATGCATGAAAACCAACAAGGGAATGTGGGGTTTTCTTACTGATTTCAAAGAAATTGAAACAGTTTGGAGAGACAAGAAATAAAAGTGTGAATATTTATGATTTAATGTAAAAATGAGTGACGTATACAAATACCGTAGTATATCAATGCTCGGTCACTGTGGGATGTAATTTCTTGAAACGTTTTGTGGCAAGAGGCAGGGCTGGAGCTGTAGCTCTGAGGACAAAGTGGAAAGAGAGGGAGAGACCAGGAGCGATGGGACCAGGAATAAACATGAGTGAGTTTCAAGACCAGCTTCACCGTCGCAGTGAACTTGTACTAGAGGGTGCTTGGGATGCAGGGGAGACTTACAGGTAGATGGGGTCGGCCTGATGATGCACAAGACTCTGATTATCAGAGTAAAATCCTTCCACAGGCTTTCTGTAGATAACCAGGAACCCAATAGGGATATTGCCAGCAAGGGAATTACATGATGAATCTATTATTTTAGGGAATGCATTCAGTCAACAGAGTCTTAGGAGGGAGTCAATAGACTGAAGGAAATCAGAGCAGTCAGGGGCTGGTGGTAGAAAGATGACTCTGCAATATGGTGAAGATGTAAAACATCACTGGTAGCTATAGAAATAACAAGGCAAGGACCCTTGGCTGTGAGCTCCTTGAGGACATGTTTTATTGTTTTTAATCTTTGTATCTCCTGTGACCATCACATAGATGGTACCCAATAAACAGCTGTAGTAAACATGAGTGAAAAAGGGGCAGGACTTGGTTGCTTATTGATTCCTAGTTTTCTAATTGAAGGAGAAAGAAAAATAGAGTCAAAGACCCATGAGAAAATGTGGGTCTGGTCGATTGGGGTAATAGTGGTGCTAGTGACACGTAGAAAGATTTCAAGGGGCAATTGCTTTTGAGAAGATAAGCCTATTTGGGGCAGGCCGTGTTTGAGATGACTTTGGGACAACCAGATGCAGAAGATGTTTCCTTGGTCTGGGATAAACACGGAAAGTGTTGAGAGAAAATGGGCTCTCCCAGAAATGAAAGTTTAAAAGCTAGGTTATGTAAGAAATATGGCCCTGGAAAAGCCTATCTTCTCAGCAGTCTTAATTTTTTTTTCCATTTAACAATATTTGTCCTCTTTTCATAGATTCTTAACCTTTTAGTCATTCAGTAATTTAATTGTGAGTCTGAGAACTTATACCTGGGGTCTGAGTCCCTAACTTCCCTCAACCTTTACCTGGAAACATCTGAGATCTATATTGGTGGTTCCATGAAGCCCTTGAAAGTGTACGTGACACTTTGCACGTTTCTGGGGAAAAGATCCCTAACTTTCATCAGACTCT